GGGCCCCCGCACCCCTATGCACCCCTATGCGCCCCTATGCACCCCTATACACCCCTCCACTCCCCATGCACTGCACGTGCCCCCGTATGCCCCTATACACCCGTGTGTGCCCTTATGCGACAGTGCACCCCCTCTGCGCCCCATACACTGCGTCTGCCCATATGTTCCCTGGCACCCTATGTGCTTCTATACCCCCCCGTGCACTCCTATACACCCCTATACAACAGAATATCTCCTGCACCCCTATACCTCCTCTATACCCCTATATATCTCATGCACGCCTATGTGCCCATATGGCCCCGTATACCTCCTATATGCACCCCTATATAGTAGTGGAGCCCTTCTACACACCTATACACCCCCTACCCTCCATGTACCCCTATATCCCATGCACCGCTGTGCACTCCATACACCCACATACCCCCCTATGGACCCCTACACACCCCTATGTAGTGCAATGCACCCTATGATCCCCTATATGCTGCTATACCCCCCCATGGACCCCATGCAGCCCCAGTACCCTGATACTCTCCTCCATACTGCTCTATACCCCCTCAATGCTCCCTATACCCCCCAATACTTCCTATATCTCTTATATCCACCATACTCCCTATACCCCCATATTCCTCCACACTCCCTATACCCTCCATATCCCCTACACTCCCTATACCCTCTATATCCCCTATACCGCCATATCCCCTGAAACCCCTATATCCCCCCATACCCTCATATCCCATATATCCTCCCATACCCCCTACATCCCTCCATAACCCCGTATCTCCTATACTCCCCTATATCCTCCTATACCCCCATACCTCCTATACCCCTTATATCCCCATAACCCCCTATATGCCCTATAACCCCTATACCACCTATATTCCCCTCTACCCCCCATATCACCTCTATCTCCCCATAACCCCTATATCCCTTATACCCCCTATATTCCCCCATAACCCCTATATCACCTATACTGCCTATGTACCCCTATTTCCCCTATATCCCTTATATCCTCCATTACCACTATATCCCCTATACTGCCTATATCCCCCATAACCCCTATATCCCCTATACCCTTTGTATCCCCCATAACCCCTATATCCCATATACTGCCTATATCCCCTATAACCCCTATATCCCCCTATACCCTCTATATCCCCCTATATCCCCTATGTCCCCATAACCCTTATACCTCCTATACCCCCTATATACCCCTATGTCCCCTATACCCCCCATATGCCCCCATAAGCCCTATAGCCCTATATCCCTTATTCCCCCCTA